CTTTCCTCTCTAAACTGATTTAAAGCTCCAAATGTGATAACAATTGGTTTTATATATATAGGTGTAAACAATTGCTTCCTGTTCTTTGGTTCAGAAGTTTAAATATAGAGCAGCATTCAAGACTCAAGAGTGAGGTGGGAGTCTTGATTATTTTTTTTCTTATTCTTATGCATAAGAAATCTGTGATTTAAATGAAGAGTTTAATCTTCATATTCAATTGAATACAAATTTATGTACCTGTTAAAATACATATGTATATAGCTGATAAAAGCCTAAGCCACGCAGAGAATTCATATTTAGATACATGATTACTCACCTTTTGAAAAGATATTTATTTGATAAAATAGAGTTGCTTGTATACTCAGTGTTGTAGTTCTAATTATTATAAAAGTTACTTTATTACTGGAAAAGCCAAAGTATAATCTGTGAGGATTTGAGAATCATTTTCATGAAGACATGACTTCAGTCAAGAAAAGGCCAGACATGTCAGGTGGATTTTCAGGAAATTGTTTCCAATGTGCACCATATATACTGTATGTGTAACAGAATCACAAGGAAGAGAGTGGTTGTGAGCATAAACAAAATGAAAAATAAGATCACCTTTGTAGATGATGGAAAAGGTAACTGCTGGGAGGAAACGAAACCTCAAATACTGCTGATGGTGGATGGACAGGGGATGGTCACATGAACCTTGACTGCTTGCAGTAGAAATTATTGTGGCTTTAGACACATTACATGGTGCTAATGTAGAAAAAGGCTGGTAAAACAATAATATTTTGGGGACAGACAGTAGCTTTTAACCCTGGAAAAACGTTTCACTTCTGAATTCCACTCCTCGCAATCCATTTTGGAAATAAGACCCAAGTGTTGCTGTAGCAAGATGAAATAGGGGGTTCAGAGGGAAAATTCAAGGCAAATGCCTTGCAGACATCAAAGTCAGCATCTGTGGAGCAACCTGCTGCAGAGACTCTGTATGATGGTGCTTATGGATACCCCTGGAGCTTTTTGAAGAGTGCCTCAACTTAGATACTCATCACCAGCCTGCAGCTGTTGACCTAAGTACTTGACTTTACCTTTCAGCCATGAAATGCAGTATGCTCTTTGTTAAAAGAGAAGCTGTAACTTTTTTAGACATCTGTTTATAAGGATTAGCAGCTGTGCTAAATAGAGTTTCTTTTAATTCAGTGTTTATCTTTCATGTCTAGAGGTGTGGACAGTGCAATAAATGAAAAACAGGAATGAAAAGTAGCGTCTTCCATATCGCAAAAGTGTTGGAATGGGAAACATCTGATAGGGCCTGACAGCATTTTCTCTGTTGTCTAAATTATTTTTTTCTCTGACGAACAGTAACATAGTTATTGTAATGATAATGTAATGATATTGTAATGATATTTTAAGGATGCTGGGCTGTCTGTATTGATCTTTGCTTGCAGTATTGTCTCTTTATATATCTGCACAAATCACTTCCTTGATGCTCCTTGTGATATGGCAACAGAGCGCTATGCAAATGAACATTTGACATACCAAGTGAAATATTTTATTTATGCATGAATGTACACCCCCCCTTCAGATTCTCCTTATGACTACTGTGTAAACTAAGATAGATGTACACTGCATGCAGATTTTATATTTCAAAATTTCTTTTTCTTTTTTTTTTTTTGTATGGGTAATTTGCTAGGGTAGAATATTTGGAGAGATAAGTTTGGCAATGATATATTATTCTGAATTTTGAATATTTACAGTGGGTGTTGACTGAAACTCTCCCATCAGTGCCTGCTGTTCATAGTAGCCCTATGAATCTTAACATTGATATCACTCTCAAAAGCCTGGAAAAGGCCCAGATCAGATTTCAGTATAAAAATGTATCCTACTATGCTGGAAACAAATCCATCTGTCACTGCAGGTGAACTGGGCAGTCACTGAACAGAAGCTTTTGAAACCAATACAGTTGCATTTGCTTTGTGTGTAGGACTGATCTAACAGAATTTGGGGTGTGCAGTCTGGAACCCAGTGCATATAGCTTTACCAAGGTCTAGCATGTACAGAAATATAAAATCTTGTGGCCTTTGAAGAGTTCGAAAGTGTTTCGTTTCACACTGTCAAAAGGACATGTCCTCACTGATCCAGTTTTGACTGCTTAGAAACTGTTTTTCAACTTTGTTCATGCTTTGTCTCCACTGCCTGCCCATACTTGTTTAGAACGGGACTGCTGCAGGAGGTTACCTTTAGGTAAACCCTTGTTATCAACTTGCTCCTACTGAATGTTCAGTCCTTGGGACTGTACTGTAGTAAAGGGTGCAGTAGGGCCCATTGAACCAGCTATGGGCTTCAGCACTAACTGTTGGGGCTATTTGCTAATGTAGAACTAGCCAAATCCTCTGAGGACTGTGGAGTTTCATCTCTACGAGGAAAAGAAGCCATTAAAAACATGGCTTCATGATGAGGCTCAGGATCTTCTCTTTTTTGGAAGCCATCACATGTGTTATCTCACATACTGTGTTTGTGTGATTTCACATGACATCAAGTAGACTTCTGCGTGATTATGAAGCACCTGCACATAGGCATGACAGATCTGTTGTTGTTACTCTCATGAGCAAATATTAATCCTGAGATTATCAGCACAGCCTCACAGCAGGCTTAAGTTTGTGTGCTACAAGCTGCAGAAAAAAATCTGAGTAAAGACGCTTCTGTCTGGGTCTACACCAGCACCGAGCACAGTGCAGTCTTTAAAGATATGTTCAGCTTTCTTACAGGAACAGGGAAGGGGATTTTTGGCTGACAACTTAGATCAAATTACCTTATTTCTCCACTTTAGCTGTTTGTTCTGTAGAAGCAGAACTATTCAAGAACAAAAAGGTTAGCCCTTAGCTGGATAAATACCTGATCTTGCAAACACAGCAGGTAATTAAACACTGGGCTTCCTGATGTCTAGGGTGAGTTTGTGAACACCAGTCTGCCTGTGGGTGTACAGAAATTTCCTATGAACCATTAACAATAGAACAGGAGTCATCTATATATCTACAGTTATAAATAAATAAAATAAATAAAAAATCCTTCCCAGTATTTCAAAACAACCCACGTGGATCTGAGATTTTGGAAAAATCTCTCAATGAGTGTTTTCACAAACTAAAATTAAGCATTAGAGATACTTGCTTCTACAGGAAGATTCTGGATGAAGATGCCTCCCAGTGTCTTTAGATAAGTATGGTAACACTGAAATGCTAAGACTCAAGAAGAGGAAACTCTATTCTCTGCCTGGTCAGTGCCTATTGATTTTCTGTAGGATTCCTTTTATTTTTATTTCAAGTGAAGACGAGAAGGGGAGCAGTGGGTTCTAATGGTGCTTTTAAACGGGTATCACAGTTCACTGCATGACTGCTGAAACCTTATCCACCAAATCCAAGGCTTGTTGGCAATAGATGACGGATAATTTGCAGAAATGGTAGGAAAGGAAGTACCTTCCTCTCATGTTTAGAAGAAAACATTCTGTGGATAGGTCAGTGCATCTGTCATTATGTGGTGCTTCCTCAATCAAAGGATGGGAGATTGAATGAAGATGATGTGGAAAGTTGAGACTTGCCATGTGGGACTGCTTGTTGCCTTGGTTTATTGTTATAGGCAGTTAGAATTGTGATTATCATCAGTATTGCTACCAAAGTACAAGTCTTAATATGAGCCCAGACCAAGCTGGTTAATGATCCTAATTGCAGGATGTGTAAGGCACCATCCCATTGAAACAGTTGTATCTGCAAGCAGATGCCTCTACTACTACTTTAGCTTTTTCTATGTTTTCTGTCTTAGAGATGAAGGTAAAAGTGAGATGTACTATAAGGTGTTACAATCTGCTTTAGCTTCTCCAGCTATGTTTTAGTCAGTGTTTGTTTACTTGAGCCCGTATTTGCACTGAGCTCTTATTTTAGGTTTTATGTTGTTCTTCGAAGAACTGGCTTTAAAGATTAATTAGGGCAAGGGGGAGTGTGACTGCGTGCCTGCAAGGGAAAATGTGACTGTGAACCTAGCATTAGAGCAGTGACCTGAAAGGAGGGAGAGAGGAAGGAAGAAGAGGTTTAAAAAGCATTCGTAGTGGATTCTTTGAAGAGTAAGTATAATTACTCTCCTCTGAGGGAGGAATGTAGAAATACTGCTGTATATATGCTTGCTGAAGTACTATGTAATTGCATCATGGGATTAGGAATCAGGTTCCAGTCATGCAGATGCTAACAGCTGTATCTCATCTGATTTAGCATGGATGCACATCCTGAGAGAAGGATTATCCCTCTGAATTGTATTGGAAAAGAAATACTTGTGTGGTGCTTTGCCGCCACTCATATATACACATCGACTATTTCAGACTGTGGTGACTGGCTGGTGTGAACAAGGAGACTCATTACTGAAGGTCACAGTAGCAGTTTGTCTGCCATGGAGCTGGGACTGCACAAGTCATCAGCTTCATGTGAGATGGCGATTTGAAACAAACAGAGCTCCCTGCTAGACTGGCATCTGCAAAACGAAGTGGGGAGATACAAGCATTGCTAGATGCAGCTGCAGTTTTCATAATTTGGATTGGAATTTCTTCCTGTATTTTCCAAAGCAGTCTTTTCGTTAAAACACGCAGATAAAAGTTGTCACTACATTATTACAACAATTACTACAGTAATTGCATTTTTGTTATATCTATTGCAAAGCTTAGAGAAGTGTCAGAAAGATACAAAGGGTTTTGTCAGGGTAGGGTAGGTTGGAGAGAAAATACAATAAATCTGAAAATGTGGAAATGGTAAATAACTATTTACTTCATATGTGGATTGAGACAAGAAGTCATTTCTTTCCTTTGCAACAGAAAAGAGCTTTCAGCATATGTGCCTAACCTTCAGTTGTTCTTCCCATGAACTATTATTTATGAAAAGGAAGCGTGTTTTTTCTATGTAGCCCAGATGATTTCATGGGAAAGGGCTTGATTTATGGCATAATGATTTTGTTTAATACCTTTTTTATTCCAACAGGAAATATGGGATGTATAAAATCAAAAAGGAAAGAGAATCTGCATGGAGATGGGCTAGATTTGAAGAATCAACCAGTACGTAAAACTGAACGAACTATTTATGTGAGGGATCCAACGTCCAATAAACAGCAAAGGCCAGTAAGTAGATAGTCTCAGGGGAGAATTCCTGTAGCAAGATCAAAGCATGACTGGCATAACTTAAATTTCAATCCAAAACATATGCATGGAAAAATTCAAATAATCATTAATCCACAATTGAGCTTTTGGAGTTTTGCAGTTCACCCTCAATGAACAAGTACTTAGGGAAATAAAAATTAAAACTTGGTGATTTGTTAATCTATGTTTGTCATATTTTCTTCATGAAAACAGTAATCCTTGGCAATGTTTGATATAGATATAACTATGACTGCAGAGGACTGCTAGATGAATTTAGAAAACCTGCAGTAGTTTAGAACCATTTTTAAAAGCATCAGTGTTGGGTTTCTAACAGCTGCGGGATCCAGGTGCTGATTATTATACTTAGAGGCTGAAGTAATCATGGGCGATTCTTTACCAGCTCTGGTCAACTTTCCTTTTACTCACTGAAGGCCGCTACTTGACCCTGTGTGAGGTGTGTAGGTAAGGATGGGAGGAGAAGGTGCAGTGGTGAAGGGAGCAGAGCTGTGCTGAGGCAGGAACAGGATAAGGGTACTTTCATGTGTGCTGGCACTGGAAAAGAAGGGTGCTGGGATGGGGAATACCACTGGGTACCAAGTGGGTTTGCTGATTTTCAGATTGACTGGTACCGTTTTTTCTCCACCTTCTCTACCGTGCTGAGGAAACCGTGTCTCCTGACTGCCCTTGTTAGGGGACCATGGTCTCTGCGGGTGTGAATGGCCCCCTTCTCTCCTCTCTCAGCAGCTGACACAGTGAACTCACTTACTATACTTTCATATTGTAATTTGCTTTTGAAGAATGGTGGGGAAATACTGGAGCATTCCCTCTTAAGACACATAAGATGATACCAAAGCAACTGGATACTATGTAATTGTAATTTGAGATCATCATAATGATCTAAGACTGCTTAATTAAAGACTTATTTTGTTGTAGGCAAATCCAGAAGCACATCTCTTACCAGGACAGAGGTTTGCCAGTGAAGGTACGTTTTTATAGAAATCTCACAACTGCATGCTATGCCCATGTCAGCCTGCAAAATGACGTGAACGCGCCTTTGTCTTTCTACTTTTCTAGACACAGAGGAGCATGGAGTCATTGTGGTAGCTTTGTATCCCTATGATGGCATTCATGAAGAGGACTTGTCCTTCAAAAAAGGAGAAAAATTGAAAGTTATTGAGGAGTAAGTATGACAGTACTGGTTGTATTGTAGATTTTCTTTGGGCTCATCTAATTCTATCTATAATGTCTCACTTCCTTACTCATAACATAGGTCTATGAATGGTAAGTGAGCTCCCTTATATATGATAGTACAAATACATTTGGAGTTGTGACAGGTTGAATGGGACTTTGAGCAACCTGCTGCAGTGGAAGGTGTCCCTGCCCATGACAGGGGGTTGGAAGTAGATGATCTTAAAGGTCCCCTCCATCCCAGACCATTCTATGGGTCTGTGATTCTCTGACTTGACAGCTGCCCTCAGTAACAGCAGACAGCATTGATCCAGTGGAGCCAATGGCTTCTCAGGGAGCTTGAGTTTACAGGAAAGATTATGCTTCTCTCTCCAGCGTAGGCAGAGCTCTTAGCACACTAGAATTTAAATAACAATTTATCATTTTTCTTTCCTGTGAATCCTACTCTTGTTTCTGTTTCTCAGGCTGGGAGAATGGTGGAGAGCAAAATCTCTCACGACAAGGAAAGAAGGCTTCATTCCCAGTAACTATGTGGCTAAAGTAAACACCCTAGAAACAGAAGAGTAAGTTCTTCCAGGTTCTAAATAGTGGCTAACTTCTCCACCCTACTGGTGTATCCTTTGTAGATGGGGAGAGAAACGCTTGTAACTCTTTGAAATACTTTTCAGATGGTTCTTCAAAGACATAACCCGAAAAGATGCTGAAAGACTACTCCTGGCTCCTGGAAATAGTCCTGGAGCTTTCCTTATCAGAGAAAGCGAAACATTAAAAGGTAGGCTTTGGGGTGGGTTGCTTTGGAATTGATACAGAGTTAAAAATACACAGTAAGTCTTCACAAAAAAATACCATCAAGTGGCACTGGATGTGGAGTAGTCACAGTGTGTCCTATTGTGTGAATTTTCTGCAGTTCTGTAGGAGTGAGAAGAATGAGAAAATCACCAGGAAGCTAGAGAAGAGAATAACACCCAAAGCTGAGATGCGGGGGGAAAAAGTGTGTGTGCGGGTGTGATTACACTGACAAGAAGCAGGAATGGATGAAGTAGCATCTTTTCTCTTCTTAATGTTTGTGACTCCTTTATTGGAAGACTCTTTACTGTGGTTGCTGTGTCCTGTAGTCTTCCATTCTTGGGCCTGCATCCATTGTTGCAAGTTTAAAGTATAGTTAGTGTATAATGAGGGTTTTCACTTCTACAGTGTAGTGTGATTCTGTCCAAAAAGCTTTTTTGTAAAGTTTTATGCTGTAGGCAGAGCACTTTGCGCTGAAAACCTTAGTGAAGTTTACCGGCTCTTCAGCTGGGACTTTGGGAAGTTTTACCACAGGGTCTGGACTCTGACAGCAGTCTGACTGGATGTTCCAGCTGAATGCTGCAACAGTGCATCCTCCAGAGGAAGACATATGAAGCTCTTCGGCAGATCATATATCTGTCCCCTCCACAGGGTAGCTTTTTTGGCCCCAGTACTGCAGATTCTGGATGAGGTGTAGCTCTGTAATGGGTCTATATCATTGTTTCTGTGCTCTCAGATGAAGACTCCTAAATGAAGTTTTCAAAGGAAGACTCCTAAGTTCAACACAGACTACTGAGAGTAAGGCAAAGTACCCCACTGTCACTGGATCTGTGTGTGAGGAGAGATAAGGGGGTGAGGTGGTTTCTTGTCCTTTGAAAATGCACAAGAATTGTACCAGTAGAAGAAAGGAAGAGTGCTGTAGCTAAGAGCAGATGCTCTCCTGCCCCGAATTAAATCCCAGCTGATGTTAGACTGCCTAAGACTAACAGATATGCTCTCCCTCCTGTATGCCTTAAGCCATCTCCAAACTATCCTTTTGTTAGTTGGCCCACAACAACCAGCGTGTTCCGTTTTTGAGATGCTGATCTCTGATTTTCAGCTTCTGCCTGAGTAGTGTGACAGCCCCGGTCTTTCTTTCCCAGCCAAGCTGGGGGACTTTCCACAAAACTGGGCATTGAATGTGGAGCTGCCTGGAACATGGAACTCCTGAGTTTGTTGAATAAGATTGAAAAAGAAAGTGTCACTGTAAGCATTTTGGTGACCGGTTCAGGACCAGCTATGGGCTAACTTCCTCCTGTTGATTGCAAAATGCTGTTTGAGGAAATAGGGGAGTAAAAAGGAAAACAGACAAAATGGTGATTTTGTTGAGCTCAACTGTATATGTGTGGACACTGTAGACTTTTGCTATCTGTTAATGATCATTCCCTCTTTATCCACAGGCAGCTATTCGCTCTCCATAAGAGACTACGATCCGCAGCATGGCGATGTTATTAAGCACTACAAAATCAGGAGTCTAGACAATGGAGGATTTTACATCTCTCCAAGAATAACTTTTCCCAACATCAATGATATGATCAAACATTATCAAAGTAAGTTAAAACAATTAGTGAATTACTCAATAGAATGCAGCCATTATTTCCTGTGATGGAAAATAAATGCTTTCTTCTCTTGTTTCAAAGCTTTTAATCTTTTTTTTTTATTTTTATTTTTCCTAAATAACTCAGGCATGCATGTTACCAAAGATAAAGTAAAACTGATTGGAACCCAAGTAATGTTGTTATCATAGTCAGACCTAATGCTGTTTTCCTGTGGCATACCATTGTGAAATAAAGACTAGGTTTATAAAACACCTCATGAAAGTTATAATAATGTGAAACTGTAGTAAGAATTGCCTTCAATTTAAATAAATTAATTATGTATTTGAGAGTAGATTCTTATTGACAATTAGCAGACATACATACAGACTTGTGTTGTCTCCTATAAATGTATTTTTTTAATCATTTTAATAGCATTTTGAAGGAAGTAAAATTCCATAGACTTCAAAGAAAGAAAATTACACCCACATAGAATGTATACATTTCTTTAAAAAAAGGGGAGAGAGGAGCGGGACAAGTTTCTACCTATATTTTACTGCAAAACTGGCTTTTAATTCTGCATGATCTCTAGTGGATAGCTCCAAAATATGGGGTTTCTTGGTCTTGTAACTGGGAAGACAGAAAAGACAAAAAAATATAAGACATAAAATTACATAGTTTTTTTTCAAAACCATTCTGAGGACTTGGCCATGAAATTTTTCAGAGTTGTTAGATACGTGTACTAGTTTTTTTGGCACAGCTGGAAAACCTGAGAATTATTCAACATTTATATAAAAGTTATAGCTGGTCATTGTCTGGAGAAAAAATAATGTTGACCTACTTAGGCTTGCATGCACATCTGTCTGAAACCATGTTGCAAGAAAATTTAATGACAAATTCACAACACAGGTCCCAAGCCTGACTCCAGTGTGGATCTTAATCAACTTACTGTTAGTAATCAGATCTGATATTGTATTTATTTGGTACAAATTGTACTAAAACCCCTTAATAATCTGCCAATAGCCATATGCATGTGATATTTCTATATTAAATTTATCTCTGAAAACCAAATTTCAGATCAGAGGCACTTGAAGTTATGTGAAAGCACCAGGTAGGCTACATTTTAATCACAGCGTCCAATTATTTTAGCATTATTTGAGGTAGCCCACACCTATAATTAAGTGATGTTTGTCTCAAGTCATGAGTCACAGAAGTGTAATGTATTTTGTATTTTGTTCTTTTTCTTTCAAAACCAGAGCAATCAGATGGTTTATGCAGAAAGTTGGAAAAAGCTTGTATTAGTCCCAAGCCTCAAAAACCATGGGATAAAGATGCATGGGAAATTCCACGGGAATCAATTAAATTAGTGAAGAAACTTGGAGCTGGTCAGTTTGGAGAAGTCTGGATGGGTAAGTTTATTCTTTTGAAATAAGTATTTAACTCTGAAAGAAGTGTCATTTCAGAGTCATTCAAAAATGTAGAGGACATGAACCTGGTCCGATATACTTGTAAAACAGCCAAACCAGGTCCATCTTCTTGTGAGGAGAGGAGGTTTGTAAAAAAAAGGTAGATACCTGAAAAATAAGTGGAATAAATCGTTTTGGAGTCCTTTAAACGAAAAAAGTAGTGAGTGAGCACTGTAATTTACAGGGTTAAAGACAATAGGGTTTTTTCAGTAGGGTTTTGTGGGGGATATAGAAGGTTATAGTAAGATGTGGCTCCCAAGCCTTAAAATCAATGGGTCTCTCAGAACTTTGTTTCAAATCAGAAAGTGTTAAAGAACATGAAATAAAAAGAAACAATGTCTTTTAGTGCATTGCCTATAGAGATTTCATTGTCTCTTTGTAAAGAAGATGCTCTAGTGTAGTGCATGGGACTGACAGACTGGGTGAAAAAAGAGAACAGACTTGACCCAAGAGTATTGTCTGCCAGTGTCTGCTCAGAAAGTAGGTGACTTATGTAGAAGGAAGACTAGAGACTGAACACCCCCTACCTTGAATTATCATGGAAGTCCCCAATAATAAAACTGTCATAAGACTTGCAAGTTGTAACTGTTAACACACACACAGCAAAAAATTAGAGCATTAATTATTGTCACCTAAATAATTATCTTTGTTGGCTTAGAAGCAATATTTTCTCAGCCTTGGTGACTTCAAGGGGCTATGTCCAGTGTCACATGGGCATAGTGAAAATAGTTTAATCATCTTGCTTTTGAAATGCTGCCTCTTCTGACATCTGAGTATTCTTTTGGCTTCTGTATTGCGTGTTCTGTGTGCTGTTCGTTACTTATGCACTTTTTACCAGTTACCACCTTGTTTGGGGTAAACTATACCTTCCTCCTGAAGTCTTCATTAGGATGTTTTTTTAAGACCAAATCATTCTCTTGGTCTTTCCTGGAATCTCTTCTTTGGATTTTATGTTTAAACAGGAATAAAATTGTTACAGTTATAATCGTAATAGATCAGATGATGGTGATCATGATTATTATTAATTTTAAGGTGTAAGATTCTGTAGGCAGGGTATTTCTGAGCAACTTAAGAGTGTATCCCAAAGCTTGCTAGAAGACATAAAGCTATGAAAGGGTCTCTGATGACCTATAAGAGTGGGTCAGTCTGACAGGAATGTCACTGCTTTGAAGAGATGCTCTCATTTAGAAGAGCAAAGCACAGATTGGTGCTGTTTGAGTGGCAAATTACACATGCAACTACAGTGTCAATCAGAAAGCTCTAATTCAGTCATAGGTGTAATCTTTTGGTATAAATCATGTAAAAAAATGCAAGCAACACATCTCTATAGAATAATGCAGCCAAATTCAGCCTTTTATCTGCCTTCATGAGAAAAGGCTTAAGAAACCCTCTAGCTATGATATACATGAATGACAGTTTAGATATTAGTCAGGACAAGTGTCAGTCATTGTGCAGTTATTTCTGTTTAATAAATCAGGACCAGAAATGTTCAACTGACACTGAAATACTGTGGAGAACTTTTTGGTAGGAGATAATCAACTGCTTGAAAATGTAGACCATTTTGGGAAATGACTAATTCTGCACAAAGGAATAAAATTTTAGAAGGATGTTTCTGGTTCAAGATGTTTCCTCTTGTTTGTGTCATTATTTTAACATCTAAACTGGGCCTAACCCCTGTGTCTGAAATGCTGCAGTGTGAGAAAAATTAATGTACTGTGAAAGCGATCACTGTGTTTCCTCTTCTCTGCTTCCTTTCTGAAGCAAAAGAAGATGATTTGCATGGCACAAGTCCACTCAAATCAGGAGCGTGGGTAATCTTAGAACCAAGGAACTTCAAGCTGGATAGCGAATATTGGGTCAGCGGTGTGGTGTGGGGTGTCAGCAAACACTGTGTATTGTAATGATCAACCAGCGACATTGGGAGGAATGTAGAGGTACTGGGAAAGAACCTCATTGCTGTGCTGTCCTGACTGGAGAGCTGGTTGTTATGCTGCCACCTCACATACAGCAAAATTATTTTTCAGCTGAAGTGTGAATTAAAGAGCAATACTGTCCCATGGCTTAATTACTAAATAAATTTATTCTTGATAAAGGGTACTTAGAATTGTGGTTTCAGAGGGAACAGTGTCCTGCTCAGAGGAACTGTGCTTCCTAGTAAAGAAAGATGTAGAGCTACTGGACAGAGTCCAGCAAAGGGCCACAAAGATGTTGAAAGGACTGGAGCACCTCTCTCTTGAGGAAAGGCTGAGAGACTTGAGACTGTTCAGCCTGGGGGATCTTATCAGTGTATGTAAATTGCTGAAGGAGGTATGCAGAGAGGACGGAGCCAGGCTCTTCTCAGTGGTGCCCAGTGACAGGACCAGAAGCAAAGGGCACAAAGTGAAACACAGGAGGCTCCCCCTGAACATCAGGAAACCCTTTTTCATTGAGTGAGTGACCAGGCACTGGCATTGGTTGCCCAGAGAGGCTGTGGTGTCTCCATCCTTGAAGAGAATCAGAAGCCAAACGGACACAATCCTGGACAACCAGCTTGATTAGGTGTGTTGGACACTGGTGCCTTCCAGAGGCCCCTTCCAACCTGAACCCTTCTGTGATTCTGTGAGATATGGGAATAGAGATAATAATGGCCAGTCTTCACGAACGAAGAACCGGGGAAGGTTTTTACACCTTCCAGCCTGCGCATTGGACTTTTTAGGTGAGACACAGTGTGCGCGGAACTGAGCCCACCCTTTAATCCTGAGGTTCATCTGCCGGGGCCAAGTGAGCTTGGACGGTGGCAGCGAGGTCCTCAGGACGTAGATGGATTGCCTTACAGGGCTAACGAGCTCCATCTGCCTGGGGAGTGGCCCCGACCGGGAATCGAACCCGGGTCTCGGCATTGATAGTGCCGCGCCTTAACCGCTTGACGACCAAGGGCAATACTGTTGCTGCAATGTGAAGATAGAAAAGGGTATCTTTTATACTGTTTTCTTTTTAGTATGCCTGTAAGTACTTTCTGGGCTTCCACATTGATATCTTCCTTGTGAACATTTTGGAGGGAGTTAGATTATATTGTGGGAGGACTAAGAAAACCCTAGGAACAAAAAAACAAGCCCCTGTATCCTCAAAGCACTCCAACGCATACCTGAAACACTAAATTCTTTTGAGAATTCTATCCTAAGATGTAGAGAAGAACATGGCTTGTAGTGTGAGACATCATCATACATTCCTCAGACTTTCATACTACTGCTTGCTTCACATTTGATTAACAGAAGCTGAAACTGCAGAGAGACTCACCTCCTGCCATGGTATGAAAGGTTTTTAGACCATGGAGTTCAGTGCATCTGGGCAGCTACTTTGGTGATGTGATGCACCAGAGCAGCACTGCAAGAGCAGGGTCTATGTTTTATGCATTTTTGTTCCTAGTGTGCACTGATATGATGTGAATCATGATGCTCTGTGGTATTAATAATCCATGAAGAAAATTCTCAAGCAGGGCTAAGAGGAAAGTTAACAAGGCAAATGCAGCCATTATAGTGTATTTTATTAATGAGGCACATCTTGCTTGCATCTCAGGTGTAAAAGATTCTCTTATTCAGTAACCTCTGAATTAGAATATAAGTAATATGTGTTTTGAAGGAGTATTTTCTTCTGCAGCTGTTAGAAAAAAAAAAGCAGAGGAAATCATATCACAGAAATCCTTTTGTTACAATAAAAGACATCTAAAACGAACCAAGAAAACTTACTGGTACATCTCATTAGTATCAGAAAAGAAATTTGACAATACATAGATGAGCTGAATGTTAGTTGCAAAAAATCTGAAATTCATGTCAGATGTTCTAGATCTAAGCAAGAATTTCATGGCTTATCTTTTTTTTTGAATTCACATTTAGGTGGCAGACGTAAGTTCATTCGGCAGACCGTGGTTCATTCATATAATATGGCAAGCAGTCTACACCCAGAATCAGGCTCAGTTCAGCCAAGGCAGGTGTTAGTGAATAGTTCAGAGCCCTAGGCACTGTATGAAGCTGGGGGATGATGCCGTAGTCACCCCTTCCCACAGCTCTCTGTGCAGTTACTAGAATCCTTCTGTGATGCAGATTAAACCTTAAATTTGCTGTCCCTAAAGTGCTTTGAGGTTACCAGTTTTCTCTCCACCTGAACAAAGGCTGCAGTTCCTTATCTGAACAGTAAGATTCTGCCAGCTAAGCAGATTATCTTTATGGGCACTACCACAGAGATTCTCACAGCAGTGACAGGTGACCTGGCATGAGGACTAGGACATTGTTGGGCTGGAGTGGTACAGATGCATACCAAAAAGATGCTGCCTGCTCCAGGTCTCAGCCCAAATAAAGCTAACACTAGTTTTGATGATAATATGGGTGGGAGAGGTGACAAATTCCAGTTTTGCCAGACTCTCAAGGTCCACTTTTTTGTGTGTGCTCATAGAGTTCATGACCACCTTTCCTCAGGGTTTTGGTGTCTCATCCCTGGCAATACCTGATGAAATAAATGAACATAAAAGAGATCAAGATCAGTTATCTCTAGTGCTCCCACCAGCTATTTGCTTTGTATGTTACGACCAGAGGGTCAGGGTAGACTTTTTTACAGCAGAAAACCTCAGTGTCACTGAGGCATTGTAGTAAAGCCAAGTTTCTGTATGTAAGACTCTAGTTTGATAGATCCCTGTAGTGAATGGAAAATACTGTCACATAGCTAATGGTGTGTTGCTCATAATTGGTTCACAGAAATAATGATATTTATTGATACTTTTAGTAGAGAATTCAACAAACTAAGAGTGGAAATCATGCTCTGCTTTAGCGTATGGGATGGAATAGTAGAAATTATACAAATAAGCTTTCAGATTCTTAAGCAGAAAGAAATACATTTAATATTTTTTTTTCTAATAGATATAAACAGGTTTGACCTATAGCTGTAATTTTTACTGTTAAGTAATTTAGAGAAATGTCTATGTTATGCTTTGACCTGACCATGTTTGGAAAAATGGATTTTATAATTGTGCAGGTGAATATTTTGTGATTGGCTAAGTGGCTTTTCTCGGATGCTGATTCTTCTTCCAAAAAAGAAGATGCAGTGGTTAGAACAATCACTTAAGATCTGGGAACTACGTCCTTGCTTTGCCACTGATTTCTTTTGTCAGGATGATAAATAGGATAAGGAAGCAGTAGATTCCAGTTTGGAGGTGGTGATAGTCTGCAATGTTGCTGAACAAGGCAATGAGTCTATTTCATTGAGTCATGAAAGTTTTACCTCTTCTAAGAAACATTTCTGCAGTGTTGCAATGGGTATGATGGGGTAAAAAACTTACGTTTATATCCCTATCCCTGTCTTTCTTTCTCTTTTATTTCTTTTATTTTTCAAATTAAATTACTTCATGAGATAAACTTTAGTATCAGTGCTTACTACTCTATTTTTAATGCTATTTTAACATTTATTTCATGTTTGGGAAAATCAGAAAATAATTCCCTCTACTTTTTATGTAACTAGACTATTACATTAGAAGGTTTGATAAACAAAGAAATGAACCACAGCCACAGTCTCCTCCACTTTTGGCATGGGCTATGTGATAAGAAGTTATCACATTTTAAATCTTGTGCTGAACACTGGAGGATTGCAGTCCTGGCAGCATATCCTTGTTGGTCACAAGAACACTCATTTGACTGCACTTTCCCGTAATGCTCCATTTTGAGCACTGAGGGTTACGGAAAGGGTTATAAGCATGAGACTGGCATGCATAAAATAGCAAAAATCATGGGATTTAAAGATACTCCAGAATCTTGCAGTCAATCCTCGGACGCTATTGGATTCTGGGAAAATTTAAGTGGACATTCATTGAAACATGTCTTGACAAGTATTTTATGTGCCACTTGTGAATGAAAACTTGGTATGAAGTAAAATCATTTGCTTGCTTTATATATATTTTTTTATTTTGAGATGACTGATTGCTAAATATAGGGAATGGATCATTTTTCACTGCAACGTTGTATCAGTTGCAAAATAAAAAGGAATTCTAGCATAAATATTTGTGCCACATCTGGCACTTGCTTTCAGACTCTTAGCTGTTCCTGGAATCTAACCTCACCTGCTTTACAAATTCCTGCTAGTCGGGATGCTGTGTGGTGCAGAGTGACTTCAACTGCGCTGATTGTACTCCCTCTTTGTAGGTTACTATCACAATAGTACGAAAGTGGCTGTGAAGACTCTGAAGCCTGGAACAATGTCTGTGCAAGCCTTCCTGGAAGAAGCCAATCTCATGAAAACGCTTCAGCATGATAAGCTGGTTAGGCTTTATGCTGTAGTGACCAAAGAAGAGCCTATTTATATTATAACAGAATTCATGGCAAAAGGTGAGAAAAACATTGGATCTGCAAGCAGTGTTTTAGGTGAACTCTTCTGCTTCTCTTAAATTAGTCCCCTTTCTTTAAAAAGGAAGCAGTGGTAGAGTTATTTTTTTGAGTGCTCAGGTATTAACTGAAGAAGCACCTATGCTTAAAATGGGCTGAGGCTTTAATTTTATGATTTATTGCTGCATTTGTGAATGTGATTTTACAGTTTTCTTAAATGCAGCATTTTTAATTGTTTCTGAATCAGAGGATAACCCCAAAATAGCTCTGGTTCCTTTGGAGTCCATACCTAACTTTTGTGTCTGGTATCATAGCAAGGCAATTAAAATACACCTTAGAAATTGCCTTATGTGGCCCATGAATTGGTAAAGGTGTGTGTAATAAGGTGAGTGAGGTGTGGTCCTGCAAGGATGGCTGCACTACTAGAAAAGGACAACCTTTACAGAGCAATGCTGCAAAAAATATGCAAGGTTTCCTTGCATAGGTGATAATTTTTCTTGTTTTGTTCTGTTTTCTAGCAATTTTTTGTTGAGGTATTCATGCTTTATGACTTGGAAAGGCTTGATGTGAGTACTCCTCCTAGGCAGCTTTCCTGACGGTCCATAGACTAGCATGCTTATCAAACTCAGCACCACTAAACTGAGATGTGGTCTGATGGGAGTTTTCTACACCCAGGAAAATGGCTAAAATCAGATGTCTGACATGCAGACTTGGATGTTACTGTTGCTAAATCATGGAAAGAAACTGTCTTACCATGGTCAACTTGAAAATACATCAAAACACTTCACTGCATCACTTTGGGATCCAGAAAGTTGGGGACTGGTGTGACCTTTCTTTTGGTAATAAGCTGCACTGACTTAATCTTTCTCTGTTGTAACAGGAAGTTTGCTGGATTTCCTGAAGAGTGATGAAGGAAGTAAATTGTTGCTTCCAAAGCTAATCGACTTCTCTGCTCAGGTAAAGTTTAGGAAATATGCTCAAAATTAGTGGGCTTTTATTTCTTTCAGAGTCTGAAACTCATGCTGGGCAGCTTTATCTTCAGGGATTTTTGCATAAAGAATCAATTTTCAGATAAATTTTGAGTAAATTAGGTTATTTGAGAGGAGGAAATAGATAAAAGAGGTTTCAAAGGGAATGTGTGAGGTCACTGCTGGTGACCTACCTAGATGTCAGTGAAACCCTGATTAGATGGCAGCAGCACACATCTGCTTTCCTTTGTGGAAAGGCTGCTTTCAATTTGAGCAGCCATGTGTTGAAAGTGTAAGTACAAGTTAGTGACTTTGTGCTTAGGAGATTCCTCCAGTGTTAATAAAGGTATTGTTTTTTACTTCTTGTGTCAGGTTAATTGGTCAAACATCTCTTAACCTCAGTGGACTCTACTTGGTTTCAAATTCTTACTTAAATTATTGTGAAATGATGTTTCAGTATACTAGTATATGATTCATGAACCAGGAGAATTGTTTCAAAATATACAGGTTATCCCATGTCATAAATCAAACCTGAAGAGAGAGACCCCAGAGTGATTTGTGTTTCACAGACTGGATCAAAGGTGCCCAGAGCCCAGTGTTTTGTCTTCGACAGTTACCAGCATTAGATGTCCAGGGAGGCGTGTAACAAAAGTAGAGTAATAATTGTGGTTTTGTGATTTGTAGTTCATGTTACTAATAGGTAATGAGGGCATTTCTGTTAGGTTATTGCTAACCAATCTTTTAGGGTTTTTCCGATGCATTAGAGTTTGCAGATTTTTGTACGCTATTACACTAATTTGTTGTAACTCATGAAGAAAGATAGGAAAACTTTAAAAGGTATGACAAAAAGGCACATTAAGAATATTATATAAATGTTTTATATAAGCATTGCTATGCAAATAAATATAAGATTAGAAATATTTCTTTACCAAGAGGGTTGTCAAACAGTAAAACAGCCTTCCCAGAGAGGTGATCAATGCCCCAAACCTGTCATTGTTTAAGAGGCATTTGGACAATGACCTTAATAACATGTTTTAACTTTTGGTTAAAATGGCCCGAAGTGGCCAAGCAGTTGGACTAGATGATCATTGGAGGTCCTTTCCAAATAGAACTATTCTATCCTATAGGATATTACATATCACATGGTGTTATGCAAATGTTCAATATATCAAATACAGATTTTTATTTAACGTCAATCCAATGCAGGAGCAATTTTTGCTTTAATTATTGGTATTGTGTAGCTATAGGCTTTCTAAGTTTTATGAATTCTTTGAGTAATTTGTCCTTGAGAATTTAGTGGGATAGAAGCTTTGTAGATGTAGAAAACCTGCTGGATCCCAGGTCATGGCTTGAAGAGATGAATAACAGTGGGCAGAAAAGAAGAAAAAAAAAAGGGAGCTTTGAAAATAGTGTGTAAAATTCAAGGGAGAGAGGAACATCTGTGAGCAGTGATATGAAAGGAGACCTGAGATGCAGAGAGAAAAGCACATATAGTTTTGCAGCAGAGCTTTTTGTTGGAGTTAGGGATGTTGTGTTCGTTTTAAATATTTTGCTTACATAAATTTAAGGCTGAAAAAGTGCGATGAACTAGAGCGCAGCTCTGACTGTGTATAACTTGGGTAAATCACTTCAAGATAACAGGGGTCAGAGATTGTCATTTACAAAGCTTTGAAGGTCAGATCACTTGGAATGGACATCACTTGTCACCCTGATCTGACAGCAACCTCTCAGAGCCAGTTCCTTGCACTTGGCCTCAGAGGCCAGGAGCTTGTGCTGCACAGGTGATGTGAGAAGTCCCTCTTGTCACCTCAGAGGTAGACTATCAACAGAAATTCCTGAAAGTGAGCTGTGCATTATTGGCTTGCAGTGATCCTGAAGGGGTTTTCAGGAATGCCTCTCTGAGATTTCTGGCTGCAGCCCAAACAAAACTTTGGAACAGAGATAGCAGGATTTTTCTTGTGGAAGGAATTTGTAGGGTTTTTGAGCGCCTTTGTAAAGAGCACTTAATGCCATTGGGTAATAACAGGATGACGGTGTAGAACAGACTTGCATGCTGCATGTGTGTGGTTCCAGAATAGACATTTCCCTCTGACCAACACCGATATTCCACTGGTCTTCTATCTCTGACAGTCTGAATGTTAATTGATGGGTCTTTAGGGCAAAAGATGGACAAAAATATTTTCAGACCACTGCTAAGGTAGTGGCAATTTTACTGCAGACCTGTGGATCACACTTTTCCAAAATGTGGGCTGTATATAAAGGAGAACACAAAATGTATGTAGCATTTTTGATATGACTCTAGTTTGTACAAATGGAGCACTAATTTACAGCAATGATGTTAACCTCTCTGGAGAGCTAAGGGGAGAGAAATTTGGAGAGATATGTTTCAAAAGTGGTTAAAAATGATATGGAAGGAAGCTTGTGGTGAAGTTCTTAAATAACATGAGGTTGTGTTTTTTTCCTTGTTGGACGCACATTTGAGCTCTTCATTAGTGTCTAATCGCACCATTTTAGCAAGGCAGTTTGCCAAACTGTCCCAGCTTCTCCTGGAAATGCAAGAAATTGTAGCTGAGCATTAGCTTATTTTTCTCCTTATACATCTGTGATGTTACATGGCACAGGAAGGACTAAGAACGGTAGAAAGGGAGGGAAGGGTGTGGTCAGTGTGACTATTAGATGGCTGAAGAATATAGCGCAAGTAGATGTACAGAAACACTCACCTGAAGCTGATTTTCCAAGTGTTGTCGAAGAGCAGCAACAGCTGTGAGTTGTTTGCACTGCCAGGCTGTTGTTTAGTGCTCCACTTGCTGAACTCATTATGCCTTTGCCTTGAACAGTCTTGAAAAAATACCTGTTTACAAGAGGTGAAACATTCTGATTTTGAAAATGAGGACTGCTGCTGTACGTGAAATAACACCTTTTTAAAAGTAAGCCTTTTCCAAGAAAGTAGTCAAATATACTCCTGCTCTGCTAAACTGACTTTGCTGTTTAGTTAGATGAACTCACTCACTGATGGCCATTTTGGACAGAGATAGCTGTTGTTACTTGGTTACACTTACATCTAGTGCCTACTTTAACTTACAGCTGTGGATTCTGGATTTTGATGGGTTTCTTTCTGTACTAATGGTCATGATTTATGAAATTAAGTTTGTGGAAAAGATGGCAAGAAAATGCTTGCTAGGAAGATGGTCCAGCTAGGTTTCTAAAGCAACCTGCCCTCTGACAGAGCTGAAGGTATCTCTTGTGTTTTAATTAGTGCATGTGAGCAGGGGCAGTCTAGTGTTAGCTATGCCCTGGCAAAGACAATTTTATTCACTAGAGATGAGTGTCAGATGTCTCTGAAATGAGAATGTTTTAAAGGAAGCTGAGGTTTGCAAACATATCCTCAGGCACATACTACCTGCTTTAGTACAGAGCAGAGCTGTGGCATTTCCCATAGAAGTCAGCAGAATTCTCAGTATGTTGGACATACCAGAAACAGCCAGGAACATGGAAAAAGCAAAACCTGAGCCTGCCTCCCTGCCTGCATGGCCACTGTCGATGGATGGGTCAGCAGCATGGCAACCTCTTCAGCTGCTCCCACAGCTGCCTCTCATCTGGCAGGCATTACCTGGCACAGGTGATGAGTTGTTCCCAGTGGTTCCCCTTGCTGGACTCTTCCTGCCAGCTCAGCCAGCAGATTCAAGGAATCCAAAGGGGCCATTAGCTGTTGATTCCCGGTTGCAAGGTGGAGTGGAAGCGAATTTCATTGCTTTGTCCATGGTCTGTTGCCAGGTCTTGCTAATTCAGCAGGGCAAGGCGGTCCACATGGACATTGCCCAAATTCCTCTTGGTCATTTACAGGCAACAGCGTGGCTCCTTCAGCACTTAAGCAACTGGCAAACTCTGGATTTTACTGGTTGGTTTCTGTCTTGCCCTAGAGGAAATTTACCTGAAGAGCCTCCAGTTCTTTGTTTCACAGTTCTTGAATTTGTACTTGCTTCTGTTTGATGAGATCTGCTGTAAACATAGGATGGGAATTCTGAGAACCTTTTGTATGTGTAAACTCTTCCTGCTTCTTATGCAAATCCATTACCTTCCTGGTAGTACGCACATGCATAGTGGCTGTGGTTAGGAGAATGGTATCTGTTTTTACTGAACACACTCATGGTATAACTTTTGAACTGGTCAAAGCTTGGTCCTAAAAACAGTCTTTTTCTTTCCCATGCATTGCTGATACTTTCATTAATTCTTCTGTGACCTACTGCTTCACTGGCAGCTACCTTCTGCCTTCTGAGGCTACAGTGTCATTGAAATAATAGTAAACTTATAAGAAAATTAATAGAGACTTTTAATGCAGTGTTTTAATCCCTCTCACCCCTCTCTTTTAAGGTCATAGGGAAAGTCCTAGATTACAATTAATTTTAAGTCTTATTTGGCATTGTGACATTTCCACTGCATATTCCTTTTCATGCTTCTTTGATTTTTAATGATACCCTCTAATGTTCTAGTGCATAATTACATACATTACTTTTATAATACTTTTTTCCCCCCTGGGTCTGCTTTGACTACATAACTGCTTGACTGAATCAAGAGGAATATGATTTTGCAACCTTTCCTGACTTCACCTTTAGGATAAGCACTGCTGCAAACTGAGAATCGTTATTCCACCGATATATCACTTGAAGATATGTGTCTTTTACAACAGTTTTTCACAGACAAAGAGTCACGTGAAGATGAACTCTCTTTTTGACAACTCTGTGGTGAAGAAGTGTGTTTTATTTTATTATGCATCTGGACGTTATCAAAAGGTGCCTGAAAGGTACCATTACCGAAAGGTTAATCCTAGACCAAAGACAGCCCGGTCCAGATCAATAACACATCTGCTTCAAACCTTTCAAAACTGCAGACTGCTTTTAGTGAGGCTTCTCCCTAGGAACTGAGAGAATTACCCAATTTAAGGCAATGTGAAACTCGGGGTATCCTCTGCTTAAAATGCACAAACAAGATGCTTGTGTCCACCTAAGAATTCTGCACTCATTTCCAGTCGGGTTTTTGGGATGCTCTGACTGACCACCAGTTGTGGGCCTGAGCAGCCCATGTGAGCAGCTGAGAGCAGCTCTGAGGCCACTGTCCCACACCTGCCATGACTTTTAGCTGAAGCTTTACAGTTACAGACGCTGTCTTGTGGAATGATTTATTTCTCCCAGAAGACCATTCTCCCATTCTTACCCTAGGTGCATAGTTCCTGGTGTGTAGAGATTTGCTGGTTGGTTGTGTTTAAAAGGATTTAATTTGGGTATTTCCAAAAGTGTGTCAGTAGTTCATTAAAGGTGATGGGGAATTGCTCCTTTCTTGGCGGTAACACTTGTACAGTGTAGGCAGAATCCTCTCTTAAAGACCACAAAATACATTTGTGAAGCTCAAATTAGCTTTCCCATCCTGCCTGCTGAAGTTACATGTAGCCGAACAGTCTTGACAGGTACCAATGATCATTAAAAGACAGGGAAAAAGGCTTTAATTTTCTTTTGTTCATATGAATTTCTCTACCATTAACATATCATTTGGCAATGAAAACCCAACAATTATCATTAGAAGTTATCACTTGGGCTCTGGCACCCATTCCCTTGATCAAAAAAATCATAATTTTTTTCTTTCTTCTTTTCCCACAAGCAAAGATTTAATGTGACTAGACATGTGAATTCAGTTGTCCAGTTGCTGTGTTTCCCCTCCTTCTCCCATTCAAAATTCCTTGCTCATATTCTTTTTCTACTTTGGAATTTTTAGCATGCCCCAAGTACTTGCATATGCATTGCTTCTTTGAATTTTTCTGATTCAATGCAGTCAAAACCATTGTCCTGGAATTTTACAGAAATATAGTTTGTATGTGCTGAAAATGTAATGAATCATTTATTTTCACATTCTTATTTGTGATCAGATGATGACTTTGGTGAATCTGGCACAAATAAGAGGAAATAAAATGGTCTTTCCAATGGCTTTTCTTGGTTGGACTTAGGAATTAAATATCACCATCACAAATGTCTCTTTTGTGAAGTGGTTCTTCATTCCCTAGCCAGCAGTTTGTCCAAATATTAAATCTGTGTGAGGAAGAAAGAAGGAGGAAAGTTGATTCCTCTGTGATATTTTATGTATTTTTGGTGATATTAGTGGACCTGTCTGCATTTTGGGTGTATTTGCCAAGCTGTCTTGTCAAGCCTCAGCACTGATCTTACACCAAAACCTTCCTTTTCATCTCTCCTTCTTCCCAAACCCAAGTAATGGCATGGGGAGGAGAGAGAGGAGGAGCAAGCTCTGAATTAAATACTGCTCTTCTACTGTGAAGCAATTATTGTGTGTCTAGTAGGACTCTGTGTAGCAATTATTCACTATTAGCTGCTTCCTTCATTATAAAACATCTTACTGATTTCTAGAAAATGTGAAATGCAGGTGTTCTTCATTCTCTTCATTGTCAGAGTTTCTTTCTGGTTTGGTGTGAGAACCCCCCTGCATTGTACAAGGGCAGTGTCACACGGCTCTGAAGAATATATCGGTTTGTAAGAAAAGGTTTGCAGTGGAAGGAGGTGGGAGGGCAAGTGGCTCTATTTTTCCATTGCTTAAACCGAAAAAGAGGAACAAAGACCATGTGGTTTTGTGTTGTAAGTGTGTGCCTTTGCAGTACCCCTCAGGGACTTTTTAGAAACGGATAAGCAGAAGTGATGGTAATGCTCTCTTAAAATTTGGTCAGGTGCTCCTGCCTGCTTTACTGCACAGCAGAAATGAGCACCTCTGGTGCTGAGAAGGAATCTGTCCATATGTCTCCTCCTGAGGTGGACAGGAAACAGCCTGCGAGGAGGGTGCTGGGGACTGGCACTGGCAAAGGACCCTTACTGCTTTACTGCTGCCTCACTGGCAAGTCTGACAGTTTGTGTGTTCCCCAAACCATGTGGTCAAGAGTGAGGGGTCTGTCACCCACCCACAGACATCCCAGAGAGGTACCTGTGGCACAGGTTGCACTGTGGCCCTTGTCTGGAAATTGCCCATCAACAGTCTCACAAGAAAGATAAAAAATGACAGCTCACAAGAACAGGTTTTATTTTTGGTTTTTTCTTTAGCTTCTCCTAAACTTTTGAACAGAAGAGTCTACACATCAGTTTATTTCTCTGAGTTTAGAAACTGTTATTTCAGTTTGGATTTTTTTTTTTCTGGAAAGTAAAATGTTTTCCTTCAGGAAAAAAGAAAAAAGGCAATCTGGACAAATACTGAAAAAATCATCCCTGGTGCCTATTTTGCGGACATTAATCCTCTTTAACTTGGTTTGGAAATCAATTTGGGCTGCTGAAATACAATTATATTTACTTATGATAGTATCTGAAATATGGCTGTTGCTAAACACTCCTCATGTATGAACAGGTACATGTTGTTGTAGAGTAAAATAAAGTTGTTTGCCCTATCTTAGTAATTGTTTCCTGATTGTCCAGACCTATACTGAGTAAATAGAAAGCTCTTGGTTTTGGTGGGGTTTTTTTAACTCTCTCTGCACTGTTGCTTCATCAGTCCTTAAATGGAACATCTGTATCTTAACTTATTCATTCCTTCTATTTTCCTAATATTTGGAAAATAAACCAGTTAGTAGTTTGGGAAAGAGAATATTTTAATAGAACTCTTAGGGACATTTTAATTAAGATTTTGTTTAAGGAAATGTCTCTCATACATGTCTCATCCTGCTAGCTGTTATTCACCCAAGCAGTTCTTTCAGAGCTGTTACTACTGTAAGCATAATTTTACAGGACTGAATCTGCACACAGGTTTTCCATGGCAACTTCCTTTTCCTTGCTTCCATGTAAAAAATGCTCCGAAGACACCAATAATGAACAAATGGATGTGGCTTTGCTGATACACTGGAAAAACAGAGAGGTCAGAGCTGCGAATGGAGGTGTGTGGTGTCAAAATATCAACATAGTTGTTCTTTTGCTTACAGATTGCAGAAGGGATGGCATACATAGAAAGAAAAAATTATATCCATCGAGATTTGAGAGCAGCGAATGTTCTGGTTTCGGACCTACTGATGTGCAAAATTGCTGATTTTGGACTAGCGAGAGTCATTGAAGACAATGAATACACAGCGAGGGAAGGTACGTCTTTTCATTTTTGTCTTTGAAACTTCTGCCTCTGGGAGGCAGTGGGGCTGTATTTTACAGTAATACAGTCACCAAGGGCAGAAAGTCCTGTAAAAAGTTCCTAGAAGCAGCATTGTAATGCCAACAACTTCTAAAAAGCATAAGGAAACAAATAACCTTTCTGTGCACTCCTGGCTTTTTGATGAGTTTATTTTAAATAGGTTTGAAAAACAAAATAAAATGAGAGCACTTAACTGCACACAATTTTTTTTTTTTAATTGAAGAAATGAATTACACAGCCACAGCTTCCATCTCACAGAATCAAATGCCAAGAAAATATGATTTTTTGTTCTCTTCACATCCTTAATTCCTAATTTCAGATAGGGAAAGGAAGGAGCCCTAGCAGGTGTAGTGGCTGGTAACAAAAAAAATCTTTAGCAGGACTGGTTCTCTTTTAAAGCTGCTTTAGGAGCTGCAACATTATTTTGCATGTTCAGCAGCATTGCTGCTACTTGTAGGGACTCTGGAAGGCTGGGCCATGTCCCTGTTCAGCACATGGATGGGAGGTCAGAGTGCAACAGGGTCAGGACTGGAAAGAGGAAGAACATTTAAAGTTAAAGATCCATGTTTGGGGTTTTCCAGGTGTGTTTTGGTAATGTTGTCAAGGATCCTTTCAGGAAGTGCAGAGCCAATTCATTGTAGTGAAAAGTTTTTATTTATGCTTCCATGCACAGATGGCATAAGGGTAACTTTTCAGAGCGAGTTTTTTGGCTGGCTTTCCCCTTCTCGTTTCAAAGACACTATGTCAGCTTTTCACACAGTCTGGATGGAAACTGTAGTAATGTAGGACGAGAGGGGAAGAACCAAGGTATGAGGAAGAAAGAGAACAATGTGCTACAGTTGAGATTAAAGGAAGATGAGCTATTCAGCAGTCAGTGAATTACAGTAATTCAATAGATCAGAGCAAAGGGTCTGATTAGGCAGTTTTCAGAGGTACAGACCCGTATCTGTGTGTTTTAGCTACCTCTGAACATTGTGTATTGATTAAATTAACTTTTCACATTATAAATTTTTTATGTTGAGTTTCTTTGATGTGTTTGATAGTTTCCTAGCTTACCTGGTATTTTGTGTAAGGATGATAGAGCAGGCTAAAAAGGGCTTAGAGACAATCTGCTTATATTGCTTCTCATTGCCAAAAGAACTAATGTAGTATTCCCAACAAATGCTGCCTGAACTTTTTTCATTTAACTGGAAGGAATTTGCTTTTATTTGGCAGTTTCTGGAATCAGTTAGTTATATACAAAGGACAGTAACCTAAAATATGATTTTTTTAAGGTATGTCTTGCTACTGCTTTTGCATCCATGGCTGAATGGGAAATGCATTCAAGTGTATGTTCAAGTCAGACTGATTTTATTTAAAATAGGGAAAATTAGTTAAAGTTTTGTGACGTTCCAAGTGATGGGAATTGTTAGATTGTTGCCTGACCACTGGGCAGAAGGGAAAACAGTGACTATAATTTTAGCAAAAATTCACTACACCTAGGGGTCAGAAGCTGCTATGTAACTTGCAGTATCTTGTTTGCCCCTCTGAGACAGGACAGGCAGTGTGGCAGCATGCATCCTGCAGCACATCTCTGTTGATAACTTCTGTACAGAAGGAATTTTTCTTCTTATAAAGAAGGAGTTTTGGTAATTTTGCTAACTTAGGGGTATCAAAGGTGTGTCATTTATGACCTTTTACTGACTTGATATTAGGTGTTTAAATTTGCCTTTGACTGTGACTGTACTTTTTTTTTTTTTTAGGTGCAAAATTCCCTATTAAATGGACAGCACCAGAGGCAATTAACTATGGATCTTTCACTATTAAATCTGATGTGTGGTCATTTGGGATTCTCCTGTACGAAATTGTTACATATGGAAAGATTCCTTATCCAGGTATGGGCCTGGGTTTTTACTCTGTATTTATACTTTGGTGTTAAAAAGCAAACAAAAATATGCAGTGATAGAGCTGGCATCTGACAATAAGTGACCCCAGTGATTTGAAAAATGTCTTACAGGTAATCTTACTGCTTTGAGAACTTACAGTCACTGCACATGCCTCTCTGGGGTGAATTTTAGCAATTAATTTAGTGATTAATTCTGAGCAACAGACTGTATTCATTTAAGCTTACTGAGGTTATGGAAAATTGACCTAAATTCTCTTCCCTTCTGGGCAAATGGGGAAAGTACAGCCTTACTCACCTGTATTGCACATATCATAAGATGGAGTAACTTCTGAGAAGAACACTTAGGATCCTGACAGGAAAGGGAGAACAGATACTTCATCCAAGCAAAGCTTTCCCAGGGCTTCCAGTGCTGCAGCTCTTGCTCTTCAAACAGTGAAAACATTTACACTACCACTTCATGAGCAGCTGGAATTCTGCATCCTGCCAGAGATGGTTAAGGGGCAGACCAAGTCCCTGAAATGACTGAACACCTCTGGGCCCAGGGAGATGGGACCTCCCATGAGACTCAGGCAGCAGGAAAAAAGGGGTGATGGCAGCCAACTTTACACTGTGTTATGGAAGAACATCAACCTTCCATATAAGAGTTAGAGCCAAACCAGACATTCTTATTGCACTGTAAGGTTCGAGTCCAGGAAAACACTTAAGCTCAGGACTAGCCCCCTAAAACTTCAAAAGGCGATAGGGCTGCTTGCACAGCTAAGTGTTTAAACATAAGCTCTGGGTTTGTTTGTAGGTAAGGGCTATAAATTATGTGACTGCTTAGCAGGTCCTCCCAAAGCTACTCTAAAAAGTGCTCCTGTCCCCAGAAAGGATCAGACAGGAGTTGTGTGCAGCCAAGAAACAAATGATTCTTCACACATTTAGGATATCTTTTTTTTGCCTGTTAGCACATGCCTATGTATCCGGACAGTTGCCTGTGCTGAGCTGGGCTCACCAGGTTATTTCTGGATGCCTTGAAAATTGTCCTTCCTTCCCTGAGCAAACCTACAAGCTCACCTGGAAACCAGCATTACAAAAATAAAAACCCCAACCCAGTACTTAATTCTGCAGCTAGGTCTGCTCTCTCTTTTCCTCCACAAACCATATCATATTTTTATTTTAAGAACAAAGTCAATCTGCACAGCAGACACTGTACTGCTGTACTACTGTGGGAAAATACCTCTTCTAGGGGAAGTCTGGGCAGTTTTTCTTTTTTTAAATCTGGGATCAGTTTTATAAGCACCATAAATAATCCATGCACTGTGGATTCATTTGTCAACCAGCAGTTAGAAGTGGAAGGCTCTTGACTGCACATTGGAAGATTTTAATAGTTTGCAGGTATTGCTTGCATTAAAACAGAAGAGGCATATATATCCATTTTAAATAGAAGTATAAATTGAAATAGCCTCTTAGACTGAAAATTGATACTGAGAATCAGAATCACAGGAAAATAAAAGGGCGACCCATTATCTTTACATGAACAAATATGACAGATTTGGGCAAATTACCCCAGCATGGCAATAGTAACCTGGTGATAGGTTGTAACTGGCAGCCACTGGAGAGAAAGTAAACTGATTTTTCACTTCTAATTGGAATGCTTCAAATTATTATTTTCAGTTATTAACCAGCTCTAGCAACCAGAGAGTATTCAGCATAAAGCTGCATATGAACCTATTTGAGCTGAAACTCGCATATAGTTAATACCTGTGAGGAGAATCTAGGTAAGCAACTTGGTGAGAAGCATGTCCAACCAAGAAACTCGGAGCTTTTGTGATCTTTGTTCTTAAATTCCAACAGCTGTTTCTCTTCCTGAGAAACTCGAAGCAATTAGTGGGACTATTGGTTCAGGAACTACCTCTGAAATATGAAACAAGTTTTAAGATTTTCTTTAAAACTAATTTCTGGGTGGTTATATAGTATGTCAAATGCTGGCAACATCCACACTTGCATTCCAGTTGTGTCTGCTGCTCTTCACAGGGTATGGCCCTTTCCGTACTGTGGGACTCTTCCTTCGTACCACAGTGTTCATGTAATTTGCCAGGCTCTCTGATGTAAGCAAATATGTCTTTGGGAAGCCCAACAGGTACCACAGCATAAATTAACAGACATGTACCAAAACTTTAGAGCTAGTGTCCCTTACTAGCATTCAAGAGGGTGTAGAAGTGTAATAAATATATATGTGGGGATATATTTGTTTTACTAATTAGGATTTAGTTATGATGAGATGGGTAATTCTCTAGCCACAGGGGGAAAAAAAAAAAAAAAAGGAAAAGTTAAACAAGTAGCTATTTTGAGAATACTGCATGGACTGTGGGTAAGCCTTTTTCTTTTAAATAAAACCTTAAACACGTGTAAGTATGTATATGATGTATTTACTATGGGATACTGATGAAAGTACTTTAATTTTTTGCTTCGGAGCTCTGGTGGTTATTTAACATAGTTTTCCTGCAGGGCAGCTGAAACACAGGCTTTGTCTTTAGCATTCAGGTTGTAATAATTGATCCTGCAGACACTAGATCTAAGCACAATCCTATAAAGTACTTAAACCCAAAAAATCAGTCCCACTCTGCCCAATAGCAGCAGTACTCCTGTAGCAGCACACAGTTAACTAAGACTTTGCAGAGTATGAATAACTATTTTACTGCACATATTATATACAATCCATTTCTTTAAGCTCAAGTAGTTAGATCACTGTTCTCTATAAAATGCTTTATTGACTTTCTTCCTGTATTTAATTTGTCTCTATATAGCAGTAATTCCTTATTCTGTGACAACATGCCATTCCACTACTTCAAAATACTTCTGCACATGGGCAGTATTAGCTCAGGAAAACTTCCCTTCTCTTTCCAAAGAGGAACTGAAAATACAAAAGATGTGCCCAAAGTAAGCACTTTGATCCAGACTCAGATTACATGGCTGGTGGTATTTCTGGAATAGGCTACAGCCAAAAGGTTTGAGCTGAAGTCAGCTATATGAACTATGGTTATTTTGAATAATCCAAGTAGTTATACTGGATAAAGTTGTCATTTGGTTGTAATTCAAATGTGTTCTTACCTGCCAAGTGGCATAAATCATAGCCATAGTAGCCAGATAATGTGAACAAAGATCTGCACAGTCTGCAGCAACAGAGGTGCAGAGTCACCAAGTACTCGAGGGAGCAACACATCTGCATCTCACTGACCTTGCCCAGAGCAGGACCCATCCTGCAGCCTCTGAGCCGAGCGTAGCTGGTCTTCCCACACCTCTGGGGAGCTGGTGTGTACTCAGCAGCAGTGACTGGTCACATGTGGGCGTGATCAGAACAGAATTGCCTGAGAAAACCACAAGAAACTGTAGTCTTGGGCAGAGCCTCACCACGTGGAGTGTTCAGCCTGAGGAGAGGCCAGTGGCTGCTGGGTGCTTCCTGCATGCTCAGTCATCAGAACAAACAGTGTTCACTGAGCACAGAAAACTTAGAGTCTGAGTCCCGGAGAAGGTAGTCCTGGCACCATTACTCCACTGGGTTGCATTAGATTTGCAGAGGAAATGACAAGCCAAAAGGCAGGTTTCTGGGTAGGCCTAAAAAAGCAAAAGCTGGCCCTAGCATAGCTGACCTTCTGAGAGAAGGTGTTGAAATTTTTCTGTGAACCGATCTCTCAAGGGTTTGATGAAGCAGGGGGGAGGGGTGATGGGAAATAAAAAAAGTAAGGCAGAGGATGATGGAGTCCAGGGCAGAACTCTCTCATGAGACTCAGGATGCACTGCTGATAGTTACAATTTGTACCCTCTGAAGGAAAACCGTAACAGGGAAACAAAGCAAAGCTCAGCACAGATGGCAAGATGGTTTTGCATGACAGTTATAGGACAAGGAAGAAGGGAGAGGAACTTGCCTGTTACAAATAAGGATTTTATGAGTGACTGTCCCGTATCTTGCAATCAGCAGCACTTACACAAAAGCTGATGTAGAAGAAAATCTGAAAGTGTGTTACTACACTGGGCAGGATGACTTGGCAGCAGGGTCCAACAGGTAGGGAGCTCTCCATCTCAGTTTGGATGGGGACTACAGCAAGCAGGTTAGTAGTTCTGCAGCTAGAGACAAAGGCTGGGCTTTTGCTGTGGATCTCACTGCCCCTGAAAGCAGAATAAATGGTGGCAGGACTGGTCAGAAGAACCGAATGGAGATGGTTCTGGAGACAAGAATTATGATCTTTTTAGACTTGGCTCTACAGATGTTGCAACACTTAACTGCAGAAATGGAAATTCCCCCCGCAAGGATTTTCAGAGCAAGTCCCTCATTGTGGTGCACAACTCGGCCTTGTTTATTGAACTCATGCTAGTAGCTACTCTTTAAAAGTAGCAGTAGTCTTGTATTATTGTGTGAAGGTCTTTAAAGTGAAGTAAATAAAAAAAGTAGTTTCTCTAGGAATTGAGATAATTTCATAAAATCTTTTTGTTGTTGTTGTTGTTGTTAAAGGTATGAGCAATTCAGATGTGATGGTTGCTCTTCAGCGTGGGTACCGAATGCCACGCATGGAAACCTGTCCAGCTGAGCTTTACGACATCATGAAAACATGCTGGAAAGACAAAGCAGAAGAGAGGCCAACATTTGATTATCTACAGAGCGTGCTTGATGATTTCTACACAGCAACAGAAGGGCAGTATCAACAACAGCCATAGAACAAAGAACACTTTTTCTATTGACATGGATCATTGGCACAGACTATCATTTGGACAGACTGCTCAAACCAATTACTTCATGAGTTCAGATGTCTTAACTGAGTGTGGAAGCTGAAACGCTGAAGAGAAATAATAATGTTTTTATTTGGTTAAACCAGTTCCTCTAAAGCTTGAATTTCTCATTAAATGTTCTGTGTTTTGCATCTGTAGAAACATCCCAAAGCAAACAGGCTTTTTGGGGTGGGGAGGGAGGGAAAGCCATCAGGCCCTGGTACAGCTTGAAAACGCCTCCTTAGGTTGTAAGTCATGCAAATATGTTACAAGTAAACCTTCATAAAGGGGTGAGAGGATCCAGGAACAGCTGTTTTCAGAAGAACAGGTCATGAAGAAGAACTTACGGATTTAAGACATGCTGATGTTCTTAAATCATCTTTTTTGAAATACAGCATATTGTGAATATTATTTTTATATACTTGTTTCACATTAGTATCTGGCATACTGTCACCTCTTGTAAGACTTTCTAAACAGATTTCCTTTGAGGAAGAGTTATGTATGTAATTCTTTACACTGAAAATAGTTCTGTTTTACTGCTGTATTACTCATACTAAATTTAAAATCATTTTCAAAGCATCACGAAGCCCTTACAGATGCAGAAGAACAAGATGAACACCCTTGACAGCAGAAGCAGCAACACACCTGGCTCTGTGATCAACTTTCAGCTTCCCACAAGGCCAAAGTAATCATCTGAAGTCCATGGGAAAGCACAGGATTGTGAAGGAAGTTAATACTTTCACTGCAGTTGCTGAAACTGTTACCAGTGAAAATATTTTAATCTTCATTTTTAATCCTCTTTGATTATTCACGAGTATTCCTTATATTTTTGCTGCTTTAATCAACTAACCTCAAATCTCTTTTAAAACTAAAACTAGCTCTAGCACTATCAAAAACAATTTGTGGAAATATGCAATAGAATACCAAGTTACATGGCAGTGACACTGTAGTTTGTTGTTCAGTATACAAATCTAATTCTTAAAGTGAATGCAATTTGCTAAGCTCTGTATATTGAATTGTTCTATCAAATTTCTTACCAAAACAAATGAGCTAGGGCAATTGCAATGTAACCACAGCATAGATTACTTTTTGTTTTTCAAAGTGACACTGGTTCTTACAACTGAAACCCAGTACACATCTTTGCCACCCTTCAGGCCAATTATTTAGTCAGATGGTACTTTGCAGAAGCTTAAAACCTTTCTGATAAAGCTTCAGTGTGCCTGCAGTTGAAGTTCAGCAGCAGAAATGTTCAATGCTATTCTTTTCCATTGGCTTCCTTCAGTCAAACTGTGCGGTTTAAGCAGACTATCAGTTAAATATGTAAATAGTTTCTATTGTATGGTGATTTTTAATTTTAATAAACACTTCATCTGAAGCAAGTTGTGTGGAAGTAATTTGAGAGAAAACAAATGGCTGATGTTGTATCCACAGTGGTAGCTTCACGTGGAACAGGGAAACATCTGTGCATCACCACTAAAAAGATTCATGGATTCTGCTTTCCTTACAGCCATTCAACCTTGAGAAGCTGAAAAGGACCAAGCCAACCATTTTTGCATCCTTCATGTGGTTTCTTTTTGACCTGGAGGGCATGAAGAGAGGAAGCCAGTCCTCAGGTATCCTTCAAAACAGCTTCTCAAAATCCTTTAATTTAATAGCAACACAGTCCTTCAGCAACCCTTTGGAAAACATTACAGTTAAGTACAGGCTAACACTGCACTACTTCATTTTAATGAAGAAGAAAAAAAAAAAAGCATAAGAGCAGTTGCTCTGGGAACAAGAGCTTAGTGTTGCTAACATACACTAAGACAAGAATATAGCCAAGGTAGAGTAGTAGATTGTTTGAAAAGCTATTATGGAAAGTTTCCAGTATTAGACTATTCTGATGATTTTTTTAACTTCTGTTTGAATATTGATGTTCCTAAAGCAATTTGTACATAACAGCTTTCTTACTCAGGGTATCAACACTCAGTGTCTGGTATAACTACACCAAAATATTTTTTAATAGCTGGATTTAATAGTTTGTGTGGGAGTAGAATCATATTTTATAAGCTGTACTACCTTGCAGGGATTATAGGCCTTTAGAACTCCTGAAGCCAGATAACCCTGTTTAACAGAAACAGTTCAAGACATGAGAAAAGTGGTGGCTGAAGTGCAACATCCACAGCCCGGTTAAAGAGGTGTCAGAGTGGTTCCTGATACCAGCATTTGCACAGACCAACCCAAAACTCTACAGACCTGGCAAGAACAGTCATAGCAGAGAAGGAAGGACTGTCCTCAGTGTCACACAGGAAGGCTGCACCACCTAGTGTCTCCCCAGGGAGGGTGAGGTTCTTGCTCTGAACGTGGTCCCCTTCCCACTATGAAAAACACCATCACAGGGACTGATCCATCCAGTTTACTTATAGATTCTACAGCAAGCCTCCAGCACTTGAAGGCATGGGTACTTTCACAGTAGTTAGAAAAAAGGACACCCTCACTGACTGAAAGGGCTCAAAGAAGTCTATTTCAAATTTTATCATGTTCCAGTCTTCCAACCTTAAGTTACTAGATAGCCCCAATTATATTACTTAGCTGTTATGATTCTTTCAACTCAAGATCATTCTATATCAATCATTGTGATCATTTGGCCTCTAATTTTGTGATCTTTATCTTGATTTTACTGCTTTATAAAAGGAACAGCAACTTAATTTAGCAATAGAAAATTTTATTAAGTAGATTTTTCAAAGTTTAATGTATATTCTTAGTGGAAATTCAAATGATATTAAAACAAGTTTCTTTACAAAGCCAAGTTAGCTGAAAAATAGCAAGGAGCACGATAAGGTCTCATTTTATTGCCTCTTTTAGCAGTTTGCTTAGTTTGGTCCCAGGAAGGCAATCTCCAGGTCAAAGCCAGAATAATAACTGAAGAACCAAGCTATTTTAGCTACTTGAGGTTAAGTTTATGAGCCATCTGATTTCTACGAATCAACAAAGAAATAAAATAATTTAAAAACATAATTAGCAGCAGATTAGGATCATCCCACTTTACATGAACCATGTATTTAATCAGTATAGAAGACCATGATAGCAGTTACACAAGAATTAAAATACATATTTCTCAAATCACATCCCTATATCAACAGTAAAAGCACAAACTTATATAGCTCAAACCCAACTCAATTGAAAAAGTTCTGTACTAAACATTTTTCTGTCAGTTAACATGACAGTGAAGATGGTACCTAAGGGTGAGAAAGAGCTATCAGCAGTTTAATACTGATAAAGAAGCCCAGGAATTGCACACTTTGATTTCTCAAATATTAGTCTTTTGCTTTATGAGGCAACAGTACTTTCTTTCTTGAATAGGGTGAAGCTTCTTCGTTCTTCCCCCAGCCTTTACCAAGAGGTGTACAAGCTGTGGTTGCTGCTGGGGATTTCAGGTTGGCCAGCAAACCTCTCCTTGGTTTCTGTTGTTTTGGCTTCTCTACAAAGAAATGATTTTTCCGTTCTTCAAGTTCTTTTTGCAGGGAAGACACTGTTTCTTCAAGCTCAAGAACACATGTAGCCCAGTTCTGGAGACTATTTATTTCTTGATCCTGTGAGGATAAGGCTGTGTTAGGTATGCGAACACTCCAAGGTCTTTCTTATGTAGTTAATTTTCTGGTTCAGATTATTCTACTATACCCATGAACACCCTTTATCACTATGCCAAATGGCTATTCAGTACCCATTTCCTCTAAATTACATTAAAGTAATTAAAAAACCCAGCAAACTATAGGGCCGTCGAATCTAAGTAGAGACCAAGTCTGACTAAAAAGCTGATGCTAAAATACTTAGTCACACTGTGCAAAGAATTGTTGTTGTTCTAGGAACCAAATAAAGGTGGCTTTTCCTGTCTTGCAATATCTGAAAGCAAAATTGGTCAAATCAAAACTCTTATCATGTCATAAATCTGCTAACCAGGACTGAATAAATGCTTTGAGTGGGCAAAATACAGAGTATTAAATATGCTTTCTAATCTTTGTGGTTAACAAGAAGTCACCTTCTTATTAAGAATAAACCGGAAGATTACTTCCAATTAAGAAGGTCAAGTCAAAAAATTTTCAGTTTCAGACTAAAAAGTATGCAGAAAGTAATTTAATGTTCAAAGAAAAACATCACCAATGAGTATTATAGCCGCCTTGCTTCATTTGCAGATTACAAGTGAGTCATAGATGCAAAGTGTCAAGAGTTCAAAATTTTCATGGTTTTTTTCTAGAAATCTAATCGATATCTGAGGTCTGTAAACTTTAGGAAGTCCCTGCTTTTGAAGGAAAGATTTCTATTTCTGTATTAAACAGTTTCCCTGCCCACATCTCATCCAGTTTGGCCACCCCTGGCAGGACTGTCAGTGTACCTTTAAAGCCATAGATCCTTAGGTCTCATTGCGCTAACATTTGTGCACTGACACCTTGCTTGCCTCAGCAACACACTTCATGACTAGAGTTCTAAGTAGTATTTTCTTTGCTTGGCAATAATTTGTGGCATCTTTAGATTAGCAAGATTTGTCAGCAGAGAGTTACCCTATTGACCAAGTCTATGCCTTAAGCTGAAAAATTTACAAGATTCAGAGTTAAGGAGTGAAAACACAAGGGCTTCAAACTCATAATTCAGGAAGTTAGGAGCAGAAAGAAGTGCTAACATTTTGCTAAACTGAAATGTATAAAGAAGCAGTACAACCATAGATACAAGCCATATTAAAGTTGCTTTTAAATTGTTTACAAACCTTGAGCATGATTATGTGTTTCAGTTGACTGTTTTCTTCTGCCATTTTTCTGTAGCCTTCATTAGCTTCTAGCAGGGTTTCATTTAGTTTCTGTATTTTAAACTTCAGAGACTTTATAAGCTGAAAATAAAGCCCACACATGCTGAAGTTCATGACAGCACATTTTACATTAATTTTGTTTATGACTAGAACAGTGCAAGCTACAAGATCAAACCAATGAAGATGAAGTCTGCTTCTCTCAACCTCTGAATGTCCCAACTCATCATTTCAGGTGATAAAATACAATTGGAACATTCAAAGGCTATTGTGCTGAAGCTACTAGATTTCCACAGACTTGTCAGTCACCCAACAGCAGCACAGACTAAGCTGCTTCTGGAATAGCCTGCTCCATGTCAGTAAGGGTATTTAAACCAACATTTTTTGTCTCATTAACACCATTCATATAAAGAATTGGAGCATAGTTACCACAGAAGACCTCACCTTTCTGATGCAAATATTAGTGAATTAAGTCCCAAGAGGTAAAAGAAACTCTTAACCAGAAACATTGATGTTGTAATTAATTTACTTCCATAAGGTTGGAAGGAAAAATATGTAGATTGCTAAAAAAAACCCACATTCTTTGCCCATGTTTAATGGCTGAATGGGGAGAAAAAAGTGGTGAATTACTCATCACACATGCATTGATCTGTGAGGCAAAGCAGCAGAAGGGAACTGATGGAACCAGCTATTTTAAACTGTTGTCACTTCAGTTATTGCCAGGCAGTCTCACCATTCTAACACTTTATAGCCACATTAAATAATCAATAACTGTATACCCATGTCAAGTGTAAAAGCCAAATTTTCACAACAATTTGAAAGTTACACAGGAAAATCATGTAGAGCTACACCTTCATCAAGAATAGGAATAGAAAATAAAGGCCAGGGCCATGACATGAGACATTAAAATTGGTAAGGACTAATTTATTTTTGGAGTATTCTTTCTCAATAGAAAGAGATTTAAGATCACTTTCTATTTACATGTTTTATTAGACCCAGCTGAAAACTATTTCTCTAATCCCTACTCTTGTTTGTAGTGAAAGGAGCAAGGCTTGTCTGTTCCCTTCTTCCCACCCTTTTTAAACATGGGAAACAAACTGTAGCCTTACAGGAAGGTCACTCAAGGTATACATTAAAAATGCACACCAAAAAAAAAAAAGTAATGTTTTCCATCACAGAGCTTGAACCTCATAATTCCCACCTCTCTGTGCTATTCAGAACACAGGGATCTTGTTTGAAGAACAGAGGCATTACTCTTCACTTAAGGGGATAGTGAAGTTTAGTACTTCCAGAAAGGACTAGTTTAAGGCACTGTTTTGGCTCTAGATCAAAACTGTGACTAAATTCTGTAACTGTTCCCCTGTGCAGGAGCAGGCAGCATTTCAGGAAGGAAAACACTGAGGCCATGGCAGCAGTGTTTACAATAAATTCAAACTCAAGGCTGCATACTTCCTCACTTCCAACTCACTCCATGTTCACAATACTTGTTACAGTAGCAGATTCCTTTACAAATTAAAGTCAAGTCAGAACACAGACAAGCTCTGGCAAAAGCCATCCACAACCAGGCAAGGGCTTTCTGGTAAACTTGATGGCCATTT